ACACACTCTTAGGGACCAGCCGAACACACGAAAAGTCCAACCCGACTCCGCCGACTCCGCACCTTGGACCCGCAGGGCATCTGGCGCTGGCGCTGCGCCACGTTGCCCTCGTGCAGCAGCGGGTTGGCCTTCCTCGCCTTTGCTGCAACGACCCCCCTGCAAAAAGTGAGTATGCAGTATCACTTTTGGGGGAGTTTCGTGGAAAACCCAAGTTGATTTCAACCAAAAAGCTCCAACCCAATAGCCTGCCAGATCCAAGTCGATCTTAGTTGGATCCAACCCAATAGCTAAGGTCTAAAGATCCGTTGCCCAGCTGTCCCGTCGCCTCCTCCACGTAGCGCACCAAGAGCGCCACAAAGGCCGCGTTCCCCGCCACGCCCAGCACCTGCGGTTCGGCCGAAGGGGGGGGGGGAGGAAGGGCGCGGAGCACTTCCTACCAACTGACCCCAAACCACCTGGCTGCGGGTGAATAATAGGCACCTCGAAAATAGAAGGGTGAATGAAAAAGACCAAAATCCCCTGTGTTCCCCTAAGTCTTGGCTCAAAACCGCTTCCCGCACAACGCGGCCAAGGTGCCAAGGCGGACAGTCCCCCCGCCCGGTCCGGCTCCACGCCCGAGAGGTTGGCCACGTTCACCTCGCGCCAGGGGTTGGGAGTCAAGAGGTTAAGCTGTGGGAGGCTGTGGGGGAGGGGGGGGAGAGTTCCCAGATTTACTCCTTAACAAGGCCGTTTGGCGTGGTCCTTTAATGTGGTGTGGTGTGGTCCTTTGGTGTGGTGTGGTGTGGTCCTTTGGTGTGGACCTCCACGTTAGGCTGTGGGGAGGGGGGGGCTGATTTACTCCTTAGTAAGGCCTTATTGAGGGCTTATCCTTGGCTTGTGCTGTTCTTATCCAGGGAGAACCCTGCCCCCCTCGCCACCCCAAGAGGTCCATGAATGTTGTGAGATGCTTTAGGTAAAAGACTTCATAGGGATGGAACGCTTCCGATTTGGGACCCGAGAATTCAGGGCACTTTTCCCTGCAATACTCAAGAGAACCCTTCTGTTTTGGGCTCCCCCAAGAGCTGCAAATGCTAGGCCCCTTGAAAGAAATCAAGCTATGTGTCTCTGAGTCAGGCAAGACAGCCAAAGACGTCGGGTAGTGCCCTGCTCAAGCCGCCGATGCTCTGGCTGAGGGACACGTGTGGTGCTTTACGCGCCACCCCCTCCTATCTCGTGACACCGAAGTGGGATTGCCAGCTTTGGGGGGGGGTTTAGCTAGGTCAAGCAGAGCTCCATTCTGTGCCTTTGAACCGCAGGCTTCTCGGGTTGAGGGCGCCATGGCCTGACAACCCCGATAGCCAACAGATGAGATTGGCGAACGGTTTCCCCCGCCAATAACGGATCGCCCCAACATTGGGGGAACTGAGTCAGTTACGCCTGGCTCTGTGACGTCCAATCGGTGGTTTGGCCGATCAGTGTTGCCGTCCCGCGGCTCTCGCCGCGTTTCCCTCACCTCGAAAGCGTTGGGCTGCAGCACCGCATTGTTGATGGCAGACACTGCCTGTGGCTTTTGGGGTGGGTGGAGGGGGGCGGAGGTGGGCAGTGTGTAGGGTTGCAGAGGTGGGCGAAGTGGGAGGAGGTCAGAGGTGGCTGGCAGAAATAGGCTAAGGTGAGTGGATCCTGACTTACACTTGGGGGAGTGGGATCAGGAACTCCGGGCCAGTGTTCAATTTGGGACCAGTTGAGCGGCAAGCGCAGAACCAGTGCGAAGCAAGCCGCTGCAAAACATAAACTCTAGCGTGCCCACCACACCCCAACCCCCTCCTTCCCCCCCCCCCCTCCCCCCAAATTTTCACAACAACAACAACAACAACAAAACGGCGGCACACAATTCGCGCGCCTGGTTGGTCCAGCTGCCCAGCTGCTTCAGCGCCTTGGTGGGCCCTATAGCGGCTGGGGCAACCACCAGCGCCAGCACCAGCAGCGGCCACTTCCGCCGGACCGCAGACATCGAGGCTTCGGCGTGGGGCACGCGTTAGGCGCGCGCCCAGCGTGCGAGCGCTACGCGACCGCCCGGGGTTCGAAACCCCGCAAGTGATGCCTTCGCGGCGCCTGCTTGAATGTTCAATGCGGGGCCTGCCAACCCTGTTGTCCTTAAGCATCCCCTTCAAAGGGCCATCCAACCGGACTCAGGTTGCTCAACTCCCGGCTCGCTACGCCTGCCACCCATGAAACCATCCCCAAGTTCGCCTAGACTCGTGTCTCTGAGTCGATCTGGCTTGAAACCTGCATCCTGCCGGCAACCCCTCAGTGTTCTCCACCGGTGAGCCCACAAAAGGGGAGTTGGGTGTCCCTTTGGTTTCGTCGAATTGAACCCAGCGGAAACGTGATCCTCAAAAAAAAAAGCCCTGAAATGAGGCGGGCTCTGGGGAATGCAACTTGTTCCCCAAACAAAGCACAGGGCATCCGCCGTCGGCCCTGCGCCCGGCGAATTCCTCGCAGGTTCGAGCCAGATGTTGCGGGATCCACGTGAAAAGCATCGCGCCAAGGAAGGGGCCCTGGCGTCTGCACAAATTACACTCCCGCAGGTTAACGTGGTTTTCAGAGGAATCGCGTTTGAGGCCGGGTTTTTTTGTTGGACCCGAGGCCGAAAACCAGAAACTGAGCACGGCAGGGTCCCTGGAATTCGAAATTGCATGACCTGTTTTCTGACCTCCGAAGTCCGAAACTCAGTTGAGCCCTGTGACTTTGAGACCACCCATGCAGTGTTCCATAGGCTGGGTGACCCGGTACCTCGCTGTGAATGTCTTCTTTATCCAGTTTGTACCCCACTTGTTTGTTACGAACTCAACAAAGGGGGGCTGTTCCTTTCCCCCGAAAGGAGCCGCCTCGAAAAGTTGCGTGCTTCTCGGGCTCCATTCCAATGCAAACTGTTGACCCTTTGTTCAGCCTGTCCAACAACTCTTTCCCATACTGGGGATTTGGGGTACCCAAAAGATGTCACAGAAGCGTCAGAAGTGGAGTTCCCAACCCCCAGGTGCCACAGAAGGCCTACCACTTGGAAGAGACTTGAAACACCCCGCCTGCCTCCCTTCGAGCCCCAAGACCCCGGCGGAGCCGAGGCTGTTGAAGAGGTCCTGCTCCTCCTGCTGGAACTTGGCCACCTGCGGTGTGGGAAGGTGGAACCGGCAAGCGGAAAATTCCGCGAAGCGGGCCAAGGAGGAGAAGTAGCTATTCTGTGATGCCGTTTTGTTTCAAAAAATAAAATAAAAGAGGTTCAACCCTACCGAAAACCCCCCATGTTGCATGTTACAATGGCGCGAAGGTCATCTCCAAATGCCTGGCCTGCTTCTTGCGCATGGCCATCGACTCGTCCATGGACGCCTGGTTCTTGTCGACCTCTCCTTGCCTCAAGGCCAGAAGCCTTGAGTGGTCGGGAGAGGCTGGAAGGTCTCTCTATCTCAACGGTACCGTGAGAAACGAAAGTGGAGGCCATCGTTTTGGAGGGTTCAAATACATCGATTTGTTGCAGACGCAAGCGCGCGAGCCACAGACCACCCTAGAGGTTGCCTAGGTCGCCATCGACCCAAAATGAGATCGCCGGGTCTTGCCCACAAGCTTCCACTGCACACCTCATAACTCTGCGAAATAATGGGCCAACAACGCGCACAACAAGAGCCTGCGCCGATGTGGCCTGGTGATTCCTGCGGCCTGTCTTGGCCAGCCGCGGCTGAACCAGCATCGGCAGTGAACCCCCCCCCACCACCAAGGAAACCTGCTGAATCTCTGCTCTGGTCCTGGGGACCGCTCATGATGTTGGAGTAATGTGTCCAAGTCTAGTTTGAGCTGTTGAATGATATTCCGCCTCTGGGTGGGCTGCAGGGTGCTGGTGGCAACCAGGGGGGGGGAAGCGAGTCAAACGGGGTGGCTTTAGAAACAACATGAAGTAACACCTTTGGACCAATCGGCCCTTCTTTTGGCAGCTGTTTCAAAATCATTTCAGCTTGGTAGGTCAGCAAAAGCGATCCTACAGGCCCGAAATCCAGCCAAATTACCGGGCCCTTTTCCTGCTGCGAGCACCAATGCCAACTGAACTCCACTTTGCGCTGCATGCCGCAAGAACCCACCTAGCTGCGCGTCCCTGACTGATTGGTCCGACAAAAGCTGGTTATAAATGTACGGCGCCACGCGTCACTCCAGGTTTGCCACACCGACGCCGACACAGGTCAGCATCGTGTGCGGGCGATGCAAGGAGTTGGAGCCCAAGCCCAACAACCCGTCAAGGCTGTGTCGGTGCCAGGCATGCGAGGCCCGGAAACACGGCGATGGCACCGAAACCGCGTCATGGCAAAGGCGCAGCTCGCTGCTGGCCTCTCTGCACTCCTCGCCTCAGAGGAAGCTAGCTCAAAGAGTTGCATCATCCTCCTGCCCGACGGATTGCAAGCATGTCTGGAGTAGCGACCCGATCACGCAATGCGCGCCAGTGGCGGGATTCCAGCTGCGAGACTGCATGCAACAGCGCCACATCCCAAGCCCATGGCTCTGGCGTGAGCTACAGCCAGCAGCGCCGCACACGCGGCGCGTGCAGCGTAGAGCGCGTGAGTTGGGGCGAACTAGAGCCCGCGAGAGAGGTGTCGAGGCATGGCGTTTCTCTGGGAGGCGCCTGCGAGCTTCCGCCGAGCTTGATCACCACTCAAGCCACTTGAGACCCTCGAGCCTCATGCCTGGAGTGCGTCGAAGGCATGCGGTCTTGCTGTGGCTCATCGTCCGAGGCTTAGCTCTGAGCACGGCAAGTCAAAGATCGCAGCAGAAAGACGCCCTTGAAGCGCTTGTACTTTGCAAATCCAAGTGGGTGTGGTTGGTACGCAACGCGCTTGAGATTGATGCACGTCGGCTTGGCTAGGTCTTCGCTTATCATTGCAAACGTTCGCATTCACGAGCTATCGCGCAGTGTTGCTCAGATTCAAAGTGTGCTGACAGCCATTTCTTCTCACTACGTTTGCAATGTTTGAGCTCAAGTTTGCGTGCGCCTGAGTTTGTTCAGCAAACAGACGCTCACGGTGCTTGAGGTAGGCGCATGCCGATGCGGCCTTCGGCTTTGCCAGGTCCCCCCTCGCCACTGCAAACGTCCAAATTCATGCGCTAGGACGGTTCGCTCGGATGCAAGCAAAGTGCGCCGAACTCAAAGTGAGCAGCGCAAGCGCGGAGGATCGCCATTTCTCCTCGCTACCTTTTGTAATACTTGAGAACAAACGCCCGGCGCAGAGAAAGGACCGACCTTTTTGCGGGCAGGAGGGTCCCCGGCCTGCCGGTGACCGACCGACAGTCTCTGGCCGAGCGGGCCTTGCATTCCAAAGCCATCCGACTGAAGGCAGCTGCAAACAAAAGGCGACTTGCTATCCAATGCCTTCGGAGGGTCAGCATCCGATTCGCACCAGATGTGTTGGCTTGTCGGCTCAGAGCCAGGCGCTTTTGCGCGCTTCCCTGGCAAGCAACGGTAGCATGGGGTCCCGGCCTATGGCCTCGATGCTACACTTCGCGCACGAGTTGCAGACGAGTTGCATTTACCCCTCCAAACCTTCAGCTTCGGAGTCAGCGCCTGGCTGGAAGGCGAATGACTACGAGAATGTGGGCCGAAGGTGGCCACCGACACGCCAGGGCCAGCGCGCTTTCAGCTCAAAGTGGCTGGAACGGACCCCTCTGGCTGCCACTTGATAGGGCCCGGAAGGTCTGGCCCAATGTCCCTTTCAAACACTGACACGCCATGAGGGAAGCTTATCAACTCAGATCCAGCTGATTCAGTCCCCCGCCAGCTCCAAGCATGCCAACGCAGCAGCAGTCTTGGCGCCAAGCCTGCCAATTGGGGTAGTTAATGAAACCGGCGCCCCCCATTCCAATTGTCTGCCGTCAAAGCCAAGCTGAACGAACTGTCTTTCACGGCCCTTCGCCCATTTCTGCAGAATATCCGAACACGAGCGTCCATGCGCATGCATCGCGTGCATTCCCAAACCGGCCTCAAGGCGTCAGTCCACTTTCAGCCCGCGGGCCCGCAGGCACAGAGATGGACTTGTCTCCTTTCCTAGGCATGCAGAACCAAATGGTTACAGCCAACATGCGCCACAGCTCATTTTCCTGGAAATCTGTTTGCGAAGCTCACGCTAAGATGTGCCGCGCGGCATTCCGCGGAAGGATCCACCTGATAAAAACCCCGAACCGAGCGTCTGGCGCGAAGGCCTGCGTTCAACAGCGTTGACCGAGGGTCGATTCCACGCAGCGCAAAAAAGAGGATGTGACAAGTGCGGCACACAAACCTGAATTAGGAATCAAAGCTTGCGGGCATGGTGTGACGTAGCCAGACTACGGCAGGAAGAGCAGCTGGCGAATCAAGCAAGCAGCGAAGACAAGTGCGCACCAAGACATTTGCCAAGACTTCGGATCTCCAGGAGCATGGTTGCCAGCAGGCAAACTCGCAGACTCGGACTGATAAAAGACGTCCAGATGAAAGCAAACAAGGCCCCAGCATGAAGCCGAAATCGAGGGCCTCACGTCAGAATGCCACGGGAAGCATCATGCCGCGCCATGGCATGTTGGCCATTTTCGGCATCACCCGAGCTGGCCTAAGCACCTGCAGTCGGACCAGTTGCTGCGACAGGACAGGGCTAGCAAGCAGCCTGTCAAGCAAGCAGCGCAGACACGTGCGCATCAATACATTCACACAAGCCTTCGACTTTCTGGCAGCGCGTGTGGCAAGTTGCAGACAAAGACATTGACAAGAGACGCCTAGGTAAAAACAGGCCCGGCCCCGTGCAACACCAAGCCACCGTCAAGAGCCTCATGTCAGAATGCGACACGTGGCATTACTGTGCCACGCGACGTGCGTCCCCTCGTTGCCACTACCAAAGCTGGCTGAAGCGTCCGCTGGCATGCTACAGCTAGGGACAGCAGGCGGTGTGTCAGTCAAGCAGCAGAGACAAGTCCGCATCAAGACATTCGCGCCAACCATTCCACAATGTTTGGCAGCATGCAAACGAAGAAGCTGACGAGCGACGCTCAAGTGAAAGCAGAAAAAAGCCCATGCAACACCAAGCCGGCATCAAGGGCCTCATGTTAGAACACCGCGCAAGGCATCACTTTCTGCCATGCCTGGAAATGCCGCAGTCGGACCAACTGCTGAGACAAACAGGGTCGGCAAGCGGCGTGTCAAGCAAGGAGCACCAAGTGTGCCTCAAAGTATTCACGAAGCCTTCGTCTTCCTGGCAGCAACTTTAAAACAAGGCCCTATGCAACGGCCACATTCAGAACATGTCAGATCGCAGCGCTGGACAGCCCGTGTCATGCCATGTTTGTCATGTTCTGCACTTCCCAAGCTGCATCCGGACTATATCCGGACTAACTACTGCAACATACGGGGTCAACAAGCGGCTTGTCAACTGAGCAGCGCGAACAAGTGTGCCTCAAAACATTCGCAGAAGCCTTCAGCTTTCTGGCAGCATGTTTGGCAAAGGGCGAACAAACAAACTGCAAGACGCCCAGGTAAAAGCAGACGAGGCCGCACGCAGCAGGCCTGCATTGAAGCTACGCAAGGCATCGGCTCTATGCCATGTTTGTCATGTTCTGAAATTCCCAAGCTGCATCCGGACTATATCCGGACTAACTACTGCAACAGACGGGGTCAACAAGCGGCATGTCAACTGAGCAGCGCGAACAAGTGTGCCTCAAGACATTCGCAGAAGCCTTCAGCTTTCTGGCAGCATGTTTGGCAAAGGGCGAACAAACAAACTGCAAGACGCCCAGGTAAAAGCAGACGAGGCCGCACGCAGCAGGCCTGCATTGAAGCTACGCAAGGCATCGGCTCTATGCCATGTTTGTCATGTTCTGAAATTCCCAAGCTGCATCCGGACTATATCCGGACTAACTACTGCAACAGACGGGGTCAACAAGCGGCATGTCAACTGAGCAGCGCGAACAAGTGTGCCTCAAGACATTCGCAGAAGCCTTCAGCTTTCTGGCAGCATGTTTGGCAAAGGGCGAACAAACAAACTGATGCAAGACGCCCAGGTAAAAGCAGACGAGGCCGCACGCAACAGCAGGCCTGCATTGAGGCTACGCAAGGCATCGGCTCTATGCCATGTCTGTCATGTTCGGCACTTCCCAAGCCGCATCCGGACTATATCCGGACTAACTACTGCAACAGACGGGGTCAACAAGCGGCATGTCAACTGAGCAGCGCGAACAAGTGTGCCTCAAAACATTCGCAGAAGCCTTCAGCTTTCTGGCAGCATGTTTGGCAAAGGGCGAACAAACAAACTGATGCAAGACGCCCAGGTAAAAGCAGACGAGGCCGCACGCAACTGCAGGCCTGCATTGAGGCTACGCAAGGCATCGGCTCTATGCCATGTCTGTCATGTTCTGCACTTCCCAAGCTGCATCCGGACTATATCCGGACTAGCTACTGCAACAGACGGGGTCAACAAGCGGCATGTTAACTGAGCAGCGCGAACAAGTGAGTCTCAAGACATTTGAAGAAGCCTTCAGCTTTCTGGCAGCATGTTTGGCAAAGGGCGAACAAACAAACTGCAAGACGCCCAGGTAAAAGCAGACGAGGCCGCACGCAACAGCAGGCCTGCATTGAAGCTACGCAAGGCATCGGCTCTATGCCATGTCTGTCATGTTCTGCACTTCCCAAGTTGCATCCGGACTATACCCGGACTAGCTACTGCAACAGACGGGGTCAACAAGCGGCATGTTAACTGAGCAGCGCGAACAAGTGAGTCTCAAGACATTTGAAGAAGCCTTCAGCTTTCTGGCAGCATGTTTGGCAAAGGGCGAACAAACAAACTGCAAGACGCCCAGGTAAAAGCAGACGAGGCCGCACGCAACAGCAGGCCTGCATTGAAGCTACGCAAGGCATCGGCTCTATGCCATGTTTGTCATGTTCTGCACTTCCCAAGCTGCATCCGGACTATATCCGGACTAACTACTGCAACAGACGGGGTCAACAAGCGGCATGTCAACTGAGCAGCATGGACAAGTGTGCCTCAAGACATTCGCAGAAGCCTTCAGCTTTCCGGCACCTTGCAAACAAACTCATGTAAGACGCCCAGGTAAAAGCACACGAGGCCGCACGCACCTTCAAGCCGACATCAATGGCCTCATATCAGATTGCCACGCAAGGCTTCAGTCTGCGCCACACCACGTTTGTGGAACTGGGCATCTGGCATTCTTCAGTCGGACCAACCGGTGTCACAAACAGGGTCAGCATGCGGCGTGTTAAGCAAGCAACGGGAGCAAGTGTCTCCACACAAGCCTTCAACCACCTAGACTTGATAAAGCACACATGAGCTCTTCAAGAGGCGCTTTGAAAGACGGCAGCAAGGCCAAGATTCAATCGCGCCTGTGAAATTCTACTCTGCCCAAAGCTCCAAACCATGCGCTGCTGAGCATGTGGAAGGTCAGTCCTGGCAAGGTTCAGCTTGCGAGGTGAGACACTTGAGTCATAATCAAAACTTTGTACCAAAATGGTTGGGCACTTTGACGTGCCAAAGGCTGCCTTCCAAGTCACAAGTGCCGCAGCTTCTGTTTCCAGCCACATGTCCCAATGAGACCCGGCTGGTCGGATGAAAACTGGCCAATCGACGAATCCAAGTCACAAGTTGTGATGGTGGCGCAGGCCCTGCCCACATGTCCCAATGGGACCCGGCTGGTCGGATGAAAACTGGTCAACCGGCGAATCCAATGCAAAATGTGAGGCTAAGCACTGCGGCGCCATCAAACCTGTAGCCTGTGCCGTAGGCTTGTCTGAACGCCCGCATTTTTATGGGGTCCTGCTGCAGCAGATTACAGGTGTTGCTTCCCAAAGCTACCAAATACCTTCACCCAACATCACAACTGGAGCTGGTAGTATCTGCCCCAGGCCAGGCCTTCCTGGATGTTCAAGGGCTGGCTTGTCGCAATCTGCCATTAGCCCGTGCAAAGTGAGAAAGCCTCCTAAACTCACAGTGCCTGGGCGTTTTTCGGAACACCTTCGCAGCATCGCAACCAAGTGCTTGCCGCAAGCCGTGATGTGACTTTTAGGCCAAAGGTGGCCGTTTGACAACTCCGACAAAACGCCGGCGCCGGCAATCTCCACAGCGATCGGATTCCTTGTCCGCAAAGAAGCCAGCCACTCAGCAGGGATAGCATGGCCTCCCACCTTGGCAGCAATGCAGGCGTGAGGGTCGCCTTTGCGGCATGCATTGGTTCTCTTCCAACAGGTTGAGAATGGCAAAGCTCAGCTCAGACAACACGGTGTATCCTGCATGGCTGCAGGGTCTTCTGCCTCCTTTTGCCTTACGTAACTAACGAGGAATAGCCAGCCGACACTCGCAGTGTGTAGCGGTTCTACTACACACCTACTCGGCCTCGCAGTGATTCGACTTCGCGATGACTGATTTAGACTCCACCAGCCATCTTGCCTGTATGCTTGGATGGACTGATGGCCACAATTTCCTGGCATGCTGAACTTTGAGGCCTTCTTTCCTGAATTTGCGCCACGCGCTGTAGTTTTCGCAGCAGCCGCATCCTTTGTCAACAGGGCGGGCACTTTAGCATTCCAGAAGCTCGCTTCCAAGTCACAAACTAAATCGCGATGATGTCGCAGAGTCAACTCGCCGGACACTGCAGCATCACCGCACAAAGCGACAATGATCCGGTCAGTCTGATCAAAACTTGTCAATTGCCGAATCCAAACGCGACAAAACATGAGGCTAAGTACACCAGAGATGGGATCCTTCTGCTGCAGATTACCCGTGTTGCTTCCCAAAGCAACCGAAGACCTCCCAACATCACAACTGGAGCTGCAAGTATCTGCGGACCGGCACACCTGCCGTGTTCAAAGGCTGGGAGGAGCTGAAGGGCAGTCCTGCCTGTTGCCCCTGCCTGAGAAAGCCTCCTAAACTCGAAGTGTCCGGGGGTTGTTCGGCACGCCTTCGCAGCATCGCAACCAAGTGCTTGCCGCAAGCCGTGCTGTGACTTTTAGGCCAAAGGTGGCCGTTTGACAACTCCGACAACAAGCTGGCGCCAGCCATCTCCACAGCGATAGGATGTCAGCATGGCAAGTTAATACAGGGATAGCATGGCACTGCGCCTTTACAGCAACGCAGGCGTGGGGGGGGGTGTCGCCTGATTTGCACTGCATACATTGGTTCTCTTCCAAAATGTTGACGAAGCTCAGCTCAAACAAAACAGTGTCTAGCCTCTATGCTTGCAGGGTCTTCTGCCTACAGGTTGGCAGCACGGAAGTTGCAAGATCCTGCACAATAAGCATAGTAAGTCTTCAGGGCGCTGGCTCAAGCTAAAGGGCTCAAATCTCAAAATCTGCAATTTCCCTCTGGAACCTTTGAAAGCCCGCCCAAACTCGCAGCCCCTACCCGTAATGCCACACACTTGCGCGCCCTCGCAGCACCGTGCTTGCCGCAAGATGTGATTTTACTGTTCGGCCGGAAGTGGCCGTTTGACAATTCCGACAAAAAGCCCACGACGGCCATCTCCACAGCGATCGGATTGGATGTCGAACAGCAGCCAGCCACTCAGCAGGTGTGGTCCGCGTCGCCTGATATGCAGCTGCAAACGTTGCTACAACACAGTGTCTAGCCTCTATTTTGCAGGGTCCTCCGCACGGAAGTTGCAAGATCCTGCCGCAATAAGAATGGTAAGTCTTCAGGGCGCTGGCTCAAGCGAAAGGGCTCAAACCTCAAAATCTGCAATTTCCCTCTGGAACCTTTGAAACCCCGCCCAAACTGGCAGGCCCTACCCGTAATGCCACACACTTGCGCGCCCTCGCAGCACCGCGCTTGCCGCAAGATGCGGCTTGACTTCGCGATGGCTGACTTAGACGCCACCGGCCTGATGCCGGCAACTTGGCAGTTGCACAGCTGCCAGATCCTGCGAGCATAAAGAGCAATGCCCGTAATACCCTCCTGTCCACTAACATGGAACCCACCAGAGGGCCCCTTTCGAAGGAACATGGTGTTCCCCACCCCTCTGTCAGGTTCCATGTTAGTGGAAAATTGGAAAAGGGTTCAAAACACCAAAGTGACCCAGAATCACGCAGCCAGGCTGACCTCTCAAACCGTCTCAAGCCCCTTCTTTCCAGAGTTTGTGCCACGCCCCGCAGTTTTCACGCGTCGCAGATTTGAGCTCGCCAGACACTGCAAGTCAGTCTGATCAAAACTTGTCAGTCGCCCAATCCAACCACTACAAAACATGAGGCTGAGTACACCAGGGGCGCTCCTTACCACATCACAAACATGTGGGGCAAGTCGAACATAGTTCTGGAGCCTCTGCTTATATCACTGCCCGTAGGCACCGCTGCCAGGGTATTCTACAGCAGATCTGCACCTTTGCTGCTTCCCAAAGCGGTCAGTCAAACGCCTGCTCTGAAGATCAGACTCAGTGCTGGTTGTATTTGCCCTAGGCCGGCGGGCCTGCCCACGTGATCAAGGGCTGGCTGGAGATGAAGGGCAGGATTGTCGCAATCTGCAATCTGCCTCTGGAATGTGAGAAAGCCTCCTGGGGCATTTTTCAACACGCGTTCGCAGCATTGGCAACCACGTGCTTGCCGCAAGATGTGATTTGACTACATTGTGATTGAATTAGACGTCGCAAAAAATGCCAGCAACCTACCCTAAGTATTTTGAGTGCCTGATGTCCACAACTTGGCATTGAGGGCTTGACACGCCAAAGTGACCCAGAATCACGCAGCCAGGCTGACCTCTCAAACCGTCTCAAGCCCCTTCTTTCCAGAGTTTGTGCCACGCCACGCAGTTTTCACGCGTCGCAGATTTGAGCTCGCCAGACACTGCAAGTCAGTCTCATCAAAACTTGTCAGTCGCCCAATCCAACCACTACAAAACATGAGGCTGAGTACACCAGGGGCGCTCCTTACCACATCACAAACATGTGGGGCAAGTCGAACATAGTTCTGGAGCCTCTGCTTATATCACTGCCCGTAGGCACCGCTGCCAGGGTATTCTACAGCAGATCTGCACCTTTGCTGCTTCCCAAAGCGGTCAGTCAAACGCCTGCTCTGAAGATCAGACTCAGTGCTGGTTGTATTTGCCCTAGGCCGGCGGGCCTGCCCACGTGATCAAGGGCTGGCTGGAGATGAAGGGCAGGATTGTCGCAATCTGCAATCTGCCTCTGGAATGTGAGAAAGCCTCCTGGGGCATTTTTCAACACGCGTTCGCAGCATTGGCAACCACGTGCTTGCCGCAAGATGTGATTTGACTACATTGTGGTTGAATTAGACGTCGCAAAAAATGCCAGCAACCTAGCCTAAATATTTTGAGTGCCTGATGTCTACAACTTGGCATTGAGGGCTTGACACGCCAAAGTAACCCAGAAACTCGCAGCCAGGCTGACCTCTCAAACCGTCTCAAGCCCCTTCTTTCCTGAGTTTGCGCCACGCATCGCCGTTTTCACAGCACACCATCCGTTGATGACAGGTCAAGCATCTTGACGTGCCAAAAGCTTGCTTCCAAGTCACAAGCCTTGATGGTGTCGCAGGTTCAAAGCGCTGAAAACCAGAACAGGCTAAGTGAGTCACCAGGGGCATGTAACAATCTAGGGCCGCTGAACATAATGCTGAAGCGTCTGCTTCTATCGCTAGGCGCCGCTGCCAGGTATTCTTACAACAGATCTGCACCTTTGCTGCTTCCCAAAGCGGTCAGTCAAAAGCCTGCTCTGAAGATCGGACTCAGTGCTGGTTGTATTTGCCTCAGGCCGGCGGGCCTGCCCACGTGATCAAGGGCTGGCTGGAGATGAAGGGCAGGATTGTCGCAGTCTGCAATCTGCCTCTGGAATGTGAGAAAGCCTCCTGGGGCTTTTTTCAACACACGTTCGCAGCATTGGCAACCGCGCGCTTGCCGCAAGATGTGATTTGACTACATTGTGGTTGAATTAGTTGTCGCAAAAAATGCCAGCCACCTTGCATATTTGGAGGGTCGGATGTTTACAACTTGGAAGCAGAACAGTCAGAACAGCTGCAAGACTTCTTCCTCACATCGCGCCATGCACCCTAGTTGTCACAGCACAGCCCCATCAGTTGCCAACAGGTCGGGCACTGTGCCCCGGGCGATTTTCCGCACCTCGCGGCATTTGCCTCGCCCGTCCCAAAATGCGATGCGATGCGAGGATAGATTGACAATAGGGGTCCGGGGTCGCAAAGAAGCCAGCCGTAGAGGCCAGCAGAACAGTTGCAAGATCCTGCAATACGAGAAAGAAGCCCAGAACTCGCAGCCAGGCTGACCTCTCAAACCGTCAAGCCCCTTCTTTCCTGAGCTTGCGCCACGCACCGCCGTTTTCACAGCACACCATCCGTTGATAACAGGTCAAGCATCTTGGCGTGCCAAAAGCTTGCTTCCAAGTCACAAGCTGTGATGGTGTCGCAGGTTCAAAGCGCTGAAAACCAGAACAGGCTAAGTGAGTCACCAGGCGCCCCTTGCCCGCCCTTGGACTTTCGACAGCGCGCCTGGCAGTGCCGGTAGCCTCTCCCACGCAGGCGCTCGAGCCGTTTCCAGATGCTTCCCCGGCTCCTGGCCCTGGGCAGCCTTTGCCCGACGCGCCAGATCTCCAGGCGTCCAGGCCGGATCGGGCGGGCGCCCCCTTTGTCTGACCAGGCGGCCTTGGCCCTTACGGAGCTGTCCGAATCTGGCAGCGCCCTTGCTGACAACCGCGTGCGCGCTGAGGCTTGGCCCAGTCGATGTTCACGCCCTCCCTCAGGCCCCCCCAGCTTTTGTCAAAGGCCTTGCCCTTCAGGCAATCCTTGAAGTCGTGGACCTTGTCCATTCACTTGGCATGTAACAATCTAGGGCAGCTGAACATAATGCTGAAGCGTCTGCTTATATCGCTAGGCGCAGGGTATTCTTACAGCAGATCTGCACCTTTGCTGCACCCCAAAGCGGTCAGTCAAAAGCCTGCTCTGAAGATCGGACTCAGTGCTGGTTGTATTTGCCCTAGGCCGGCGGGCCTGCCCTCGTGATC